AGGTATGAAACAAACCAACAAGAACACCTTAATTCATTCCAAAATGTTTTATACTTGGATCTTCAAAAAGTCATAAAATCTCAAAATGTAAGACTGAACTACATTTGAACTTTTAAATGAAAATATTTGAACTGTAAAGTGCCTTGAGATGACATGTGTTGTGAATTTGGCGCTATAGAAATAAACTGAATTGAATTGAAAATTGAAACAGCATCATAGCTCTGCCCTGTTCCCCACCTTTCACTGCACTGCTGACCAGCTGACTGGGAGAGGATTTAAAAATGTTTCTTAACTTATGAGAAATACAAAACTCTTTAGAAATATTTGCGGTTGAAAAATGAAAACATATACAGTCCTAGTGTGGAAACTAAAGGAACGCTACCATTACTTATTGAAAGTAGTGTTGCTCTACAACTATAGATGGAGACGGTAAAATCTGCAGGACAGGCTTTTGTTCATCCATTGTAAACTATCCTTTTAACACCAGAAGGAACAAGTGTCATTTTTTCTGTTTGGAATAAAAGCCATTAGATTGCGCTATACATTTCTATTTCCAGGTATTTATTTCAATTGCGTGAGACTGTGGGGATTTAACGTGATCTTGTTGTGAGAGTCTTTAGATTTTACAAAAATGAAATCTCAATAAAAGTAAAAAGCAGAAAACTTTCGAATAAAATCTGCTAGCAGAATACAGTTACGTATTTTGATTCATTTAAAGTTGATTCATTTAACGTGAAACGTCCATCAGTAGATGAAATCTCAAGCAACGGATCGCTTCCCTCTCCTGACTGCCCTATCAGCTTTATTAATAACATTTTTAGCAATGAGACCTGAGCTGCTTCTTAAGTAAAAAGCTGGATCCGGTTTTCCACGCCCAGACGGGACTGACTTATTGATTTCACACCTATTACACATGCTGAGCACGTGCACACATGTAAACAAATGCACACTCACACACACCCAGTATCTCTCCTGCACACACATGGGCAGGCAGCAGCTGGGCGACTTATGATTTTTTTTACACTTATTAATTCCGTCAACAGGGCTTGCAGAGGCAGGATTTACACACAAGATTACATTCGTTTTGGAAGAAAAAAAAGATGCCAGGAAGAGGGAAAAAATAACAAAGAAGGAGGAGGAGAGACAGGAGGAGGCAGTCTGGTTGAGAGACAGAGGGACTCTGATGGAGGAGAGCTGAGATTCATCTGGGATTACTTAACAGCTAAGCCACACACACCGGTGTGTGCACAGCATGAACACAACACACACACATATGCACAGATGCTGGCATAAATAAAAACACTTTCTCTCAGGGGGATGGGAATAAAATAGGAGCGCTTACAGGAGAAGTGTTTTAAAGGAAAGGGTCTAATTAGCAAAGCAAGATGCCAGAGCCAGGGGGACACACTGGGCAGAGAGTCTGTGCAAGTGGCTCCTGGTTTGTATCTGAAGCTTAGCTTGTTTGTCCATCGCTGTGTTCCCTCACAACACACACAACTCAACACACACACTTCGTCCCCAGAGGGGAAATGTGGTCCTTAGGAAGCGGCTAAAGAGTTAGAGCAAAAGGAAGGAAACAGGACAGTTAGAGGGAAATTCTGTGGGTTTCTGTGTGATAGTACAAACATCTGGATTTATCACATTTTGTTTTTTGCAGGTGTGAATGTTTTTTTAGGCAGGGAGCATGTTGGGTAACTTCTTTTTCTAGGTTTCTGGTCTAATTTTCTAGCCTTATATCTTTAGTTTAGAATGAAGTGACATTCTCTGGGTTATTATTAATACCTCTCTTTTATAAATCTGTCATATTAGTAAATTACTTTTTAAAAATTCAGTCACCGCCTCTCAGTGATGAAAGAATCTCACACAGCTGGTTGTTTTAGGTGATTTTAGTAACTCAAACTGCAAATGTTAGTATTTAAATTTTAACACAATATTTGTAGGTAGTTGATGTTCATACATTTGTCGTGGTTGTTTTTGTTTTTTTTTAAGATTAACAACCTTCTTGTTGCTTCACAAAAGTATGTGTTCTGGAGCAACCATCTGTATCAGCTTGCCAAGTTAGAGGCAACTTGTTATTCCACTTCAGATCCACCCAACAGTAAAGGAAACCTTAACATTTTATAGCAGGCTGTCACTTATCCAGCAGCACTGAGGTCAGTAAATTCCTGTGCTTTTCCAGGTCTCATAGCTGTTTGAAAATCATACCTGCGGACTTATTAGTCAAGGCAAATCAAAGACAAGTGATTTGTCTGGCTTCAGCACACCAACTTTGTGTGTTATGACAGAATGTTCAGATGAAAATTGTGACAGATGTAACAGCAGTGTTTGAATTTCCCATCATCACATTCCTATAATCCTTTTAATGAGATGCAAAAGACAATGGCGTGGTATATTTTTTCCTCCAAAATTCTCTCACTGTATGGAAGTCATGTTTTTTTAGATAAGCTAAATTTAGATAAATTCAAGCAGTAGTAAACTGTTAGCTAAACAAAATAGCTAATAGCAAGTTGTTAGACTTCCACAGATTTCTTTAAAGAGCAGAAAAGAAAGACATAATAGATGGAGTAAGATGGCAGTACTTAGCCCTTGCACAATGATCGTACCACGATGTTTGAATAGGTGTCAATGCAAGCCCTGCATTGTGTGGTGCAATAAAAGCATGAAATGAGCAGAAACTGGGGTTTTGGGTAACAATTATTGCAGATAACAACAATATAATATCAGCACTGATTGCTGGTTTTAAATAGTTAAATGAAAGAAAAACGAAGTGAAGGAACGAAAAAAAAATCTGTCACTTCCTCTTGCATCTGTTGCAGTTCTTTCCTTTTAAAGTTTTGCTATAAATCAATGCTAATCAGACAAAGTTTAGGAACATCAATAAAAAGTTATTCTCACCCTTCTCTTTGCTCTCCATGTTTCTTTGTTTTATTTCCAGCTCAGCCAGTTCTCCCAGTATCTCCATTCCATGGTAAGAAGAAGGACATAGGGTCTGAGGAACTGGTGCTGGTGAATACAAGGCATCTCTGGTGGCACACAGAGCCGCTGCAATCAAGAGCTCCAAGCTCCACATGTAAGCCCCTTCCAGCTGTGCTGCTGTGGTTATGGTGGGAGGGGGGAGTAGGTGAGCAGAGGGGGAAGAAACTGTTGATTCTACCAATTCCTCATCTGGACTTTTCCTGCCCTCATCCTCTTCCTCTTTCTTATGCTCTACGTTATGAGTTTCATTGTACTGATCATGTTCCCCCTTTTCAGGCTCTGCAGGCACAGTGACACTAAATTCAGCTGGTTCTGATTCTGCTTTCTCATTCTCTCCGATGTTATTCCTTTTGCTATGCTCCCAATCATCTCCTTGGTCTTTTGACATCAGTGGCTCCATAAAGCACCCGTCAGAAACATCCACTGTTAGGTTTTTGTCTGCTGGGTAGACTGGTTCAGGGACTGAAGCTTGGAAAGGGCTTTGTGATGATCTAGAACCAGTGTCCTGGTTTTCAGATATGGAGTATCCTTTTGTTTCAGTCTCAGACTCTACCACTTTGCAGTCTACATTCTCCTCTTCCCTTGTTTCTTCAGTAAGAGGCTGGATGGGACTTTGTTTCTGGAGAGGCGTAGTTTCAGACCCTGCTGCCTCTTCATCTACCAAAGGTTGCTCTGCTGCTCGTGCTTCAGGAGGCGAAGCACTGGCCTTATAACCCATGGAAACTGGAGAGAAGCTGTATACAGGTGGCAAGTCTGGTGGGAAGGAAAAAGAAGAGCAAATGTCAAATTTCAGCTTAAATGACCCAGCTCGCAAAAATTGGTTTGAAAGACTATAAAAAGACTGCATGATTTACATCCAAACTATGTCTACATTTGGTTGAAAAGTGAAGGTGGAAAGCTGGAATTTTCAGATCTATTATTGGGCAAAAGTGGGACGAAACCAGACCGACCAAACAGCCCAATTTTCAACAACTATTTCTGGACTAAGACTATGATGGACCGATCAGATTTAGCCTAAAAACCAACGTCTAAATGACGTCTGGGTTTTGTGTGGTAAAACTACATCTACATGTCTAAACTCCAGTGTATGGCACTAAATATCACTGGTTGAGGTCCAAAGTCAAGGTCCACAGGACTTAATGACTTTAGACCCATCGCGAGAAGGTGATTGGCTGCAATCTTCCATCTCTCCAGGATCTGTTTGCCTCCAGGACTCTGAGGCATAAAGGGGCTGATTGTGGCTGATCCCTT